GACATAGCAAATTAGTTGACTTCGGTGTCTTCTGTCAATCTGAAACATGTATATGTGAATCCATGTTTTAATTGTTATTATATGTCTTACACATACTGGTTCCATGTGTACTTAAAACTAAATGTGTGAAAATTTTCAATGACCTGGTTGGTCAGCCCTGTACCTTGGAATATTATGGTATTAATAAAACAAAAACGTACTGACAATAGTTTATTTATATTCACATGCCCATCTAACATGTATTTGTCAGCAAAAGTGATGGCAACAAATATTTTACATTACCAAAAATATTCATCAAAACAAATTTAGGACAAAAAGGATTCTAGTGCATTACAATTGATAAAGTCATGTGGGGAAACGTCGGGACGTACCCCCGTCTTTACGTTCTCCCCTGTTTTATAGTATTTCTTACAATATATTTAATGAATCAATATATTGGGTGGATATTATTTTAATTCACTCTGGAATAAAAAGAAATAATCGTCCGTCGTCCGAGAAATATTTAAGAATATTTTTTCGATAGTCAAAATATTTTCCTCTCTAATGAGCTACATGCGGAGTTTCTCGCAAGGTCTGTCACAAGAAGACGAAGAGCTGGCGCGAGCAGTGTAAGATCTGTCACGAGTAGACAAGGACCTGTCACGACATCAGATCTGTTGTAAGTAGACTAAAATCAATCGCGAGATGAGATCTATCACAAATAGATTAAGATCTGTCGCGAGTAGTGTAAGATCTGTCACGACGTAAAATCTGTTGCGAGTAGCGTAAGATCTGTCGCAAGCCCGTTAGGTTTGGTTAAGACAGGTTGGACCCGTTAGTGTCAGAGTTTCACGGAAGCCATCCGTCGGGCCGCATGCGCAACTACCCCGCACCACCAGGCCGTGCCCGTCATGTGCATCCATCTAAAACAAGGTAGGTTTACGCCAGACCGCGCCTTGTCGTAACAGGCTTCGCGATGTGTCGCTGCCTGTTTCTCCAATCCGCGCCTGGCGTACCTACCTTGGCCTGCGGCGCTAGGCTGCCTTCGGCAGACAATGCTTGTCCATCATCAGTTACTTCAGAACTGTTGCATGCTGGGGGCCCCAGACCCCCCTTTCATTCTAGATAGAGGTGCTACATCTACAAATTACACGATCTTGACCCTTGTAACTTTTCAACTTGTCGTGGCTGGGGGGCCCCGCCCCCAGACCCCCCTTTCATCCAGACAGGAGAGGTCTACCGACAGAAAACTCGATTTTTAGCCGTTTTTTAGGTGTTTTTCGGCTATAAAAACTGAACCACTTGAGCTAGGATGGTGAAATTTCGCGTGTGCCGAGCCAAGAACATAGCTAATAACCCTGCGAAATCTCAGCCAGATCGGCCGAGCCGTTCAGGAGGAGTAGTGCACACACACACACACACACACACACACACACACACAGACAGACACACAGACAGACAGACAAAACTTTTCAACCGCACTGGAGTAACAGGCTTCGCTATCGCTCAGCCCAAAATTTTGTGAGCGAAAAGCAATTGCAACTAAAACATCGCTTTACCAACAACATTTCATTAAAATCAGTTCAGGACAGAAAGGATTTTAGTGCATTACAATTGATAATTATACATAGTCACCTAAAAGCCTAAAATGAATTTGTAAGCTACACATTACAAACAAATAAAACCGATTAGAAACAAAAAGTATTTTGATCCCAAAGTACCACAAAATGATCTCAACTCTGCACTTATGTGTTATATAGGATAACAAGCCCAGTTACTTTGGCTAAGTTGTCTAATTGCTGATATAAATTTGACTACAAAGTTAGATGGCAGAGGTCTTATGCCAAAAATGAACTCAATGTATTCATAGAAGCTCTTTAGATAAGGGTGATACTCCAAGTCAAAGACATGTTGAGCCTGAACAGATAACGCAATTGCTCGAACTAAAGTATCCTTGCCATTATTACCAACAAGAAAGAATCTGCGATCAATATTTAAGTATATATTTCCACTCTTGAAGTCGTTGGTTGCCCACAGTAAACAAGCTAGGGCCCGCCATTCCGTCGAACCGAGTTGCCAGCTCCGCTTCGCTGCGCCGGCAACTCGGTTCGACAGGGGGCCGGCCCAGCTTGGCCTGCCGGCGGCCTTTCCTCGGGCCTTCGGCCCTCGCATCAGACCCAACTTGGCCAGTCGAAGGCCCGGGCCTTCGGCCCGCTCGTATCACACACACCGTGAGCGGGTAAAGCAAAGTTATCGATGTACCATCGTGACTTAGGCCCGCCCTTCTATTCACAATATGCAATAGTTCTTACACTTTTTACTCCAACTGTCCTTAGAATATGCCCATTTCATTTGTCTCTTCGCCCTCACTCCGAAAATACCCATATTTGCCATGCTACTGCAACTCCTTGCAATAGAGGCACAGCAGGAGCGCAAAACGAGTCCGTCGCACCTTTTCCCATAACTCATGAAGGCGGGCTCCTGGACCCCCCTTCCGACCCCTCGTTGAAGAGGTCTTGCTGAGACCAATCGAAATCTGCAATAATTTTTTTAGTCGGTCGACCCCCTTTTTTGAAGATCCTGATGTGACTAATAGACGAAGTCGGGCTCCTGGACCCCCTTTCCGACCCCTCGTTGAAAAGGTCTTGCTGAGACCAATCGAAACCTGCAATAAATTTTTTAAGTCGGTCGACCCCCTTTTTTGAAGATCCTGATCTGGCCAACTTGTAAAAGCGGCCGATGGGGTCGGGACCAGGTTCATTCATCTTGTCTCGTCGCCCCGATTCCAAAAATACCCCTATGTGCCCTGCTAGCACCAATAATGGCGGAAATCCCCCTCCCGCTCATGTAAACCATGATGCACCTGCAGCAGCCCTTGTGCGACCCGGACGGGATTTGCACCACCGGATTATTTGTTTGGACGGTACTCCTGAAGTACCCTCCAAATCTGGTTACTCTAGCTCAACTCCTCCCTTGTACACAGACGCCAACAACAACAACAACAACACACAGACACAAAGGCAAATGCATACTAGGCCCTCCCCCTATTTTTTGAATAGAAGGTCGGGCCAAAAATGAAATGGGGAAGAAAAGTACAGTCGGCTGGGGAAGAAAAGTACAGGCATTGGGGAAGAAAAAAACACCCTGTAAGAAACTAAAAGCGGGATGAAAATTGAATTGATCACGGAAATAGATTTGATTAGGCGAGACAAGCAAAAAACGTCAACACAAGTTATAGAATTAGACTAGAAATAAACAAGTTATGGGCATTTACGTGAAAAGGGGAAGAAAAGCACAAAAATGCTGTACCCACTTATCTCTGAGAAAAGGCTTTTTGGACCGTCTGTGATGAGTCCATGTAGAATCAGAACCAATAGACCGATTTTGACGAAACTTGAACTAATGGCAAGTGAAAGCTCTCCTCTTTATGGGTAAACGTGTATTGAGCCATGATTGGCGGTTTCCTGGTTCGAAATCGCAATTCTTTTCGTTGTACTTTTCTTTCCCGATGGTGTACTTTTCTTACCCTTTTCGAGGAGTTCCGAAATCACATACATTTTGGCATGTTGTACGTAATGTAGGGAACTATAATCAATGAACAGTGATCCATTTCATTAGGAAGGCATTGGATTACAAGTTCACGAGAGCAGAATAGTTTAATCCTCATTTGAAACTTCTGTACAGTGCAAAGTACGCGTTTTGTAGTTTTCTTCCCCAACCTACCCCTACTAGTTTTCTTTCTTGTATAATGTACTCTAAAATGCAAATTAATATGGTGAAAATGATTTGCAAATTCGACATAAGCCATGTGAACTTTATTCCTGGCACCACTGTTTTACTCAGTAAGAAGTCACTTCTTCGTTAGACATCAATGGTACTGGCATTATTGTGGAGCCACGGCTTCCTCAGTTTAGCTTCAGGTATAACCGAAAATGGGCTGCCACACATTCTCAGGTAACATAAGGAGTACCGGCACTTGAGGCTGTGTCTGGACACATTGAATTGAGTTCAACCTCTAATGTGTGTGCAGTCAACTTAACAGAACCTTTTCATACGCCCATTGCACAAGTTCGACCCATTTCACTGGGTTTGCAGATATTGGATGACTTAAACTAACGATGGATTCCTCAAGGAGTTGTGCTGAAAATCTATCGGCACGACTTCGTGCGGCTGCAGGGGCGTGAATTAAGTGTCACGCCACAAAACGGCATGGCAGAAAAGTCATGCCAAACGTCGGCGTGACTCATTTATTCACGCTAAATTTTGGTGTGAATTTCCATCGTCCATGAGTGCGCTTTAAAAAAGTCGTGTGCAGCACTCAAAGAAATGTTAAGGGAACGTTGTCTTCTTTGAGTCGTAGTGCCACGCCAACTCGGCCCCTGGCTGGACAGTCCGCAGCCGTTCCTCAAAAGCTTTGGCGTGAATTTCCTGTCCTGCCCGCTTATCGCATCAATTTTCTCGTAGAACGTATAGTACGCAGTAATCCACATGGACTGCATCATGAATGCATTCATTGCTCCTGCTGCTGCAAGGCCGTGTGCCTTTGCTGACAGTCATGGACCATACACTGTTAATGCAAGTGTGGACCAAGTCCACGCTTCAAAGCGTGGACCAGCCAAGTCCACGCTTCAAAGCGTTGACCACTGCTTGGTCCACGCTTCAAAGGATGGACCACTGCTTGGTCGACACTACAAAGCGTGGACCATGAGTGGTCCTCGCTTTGAAGCGTGGACTTGGTCCACACTTGCATTAGCAGAGTATTTGCTCGACGCATTGTTTCCTCCTGGTTAAACTAAAGCGTAGTATTACCCTCTGTTTTCAAGCGTTATCGAGTTCAGATTGAAATCAAACGTAACAGGCTCATCCGCCAAGAATCCCCCTACATAAATGTATGAGGGAATTTCCCGAGTATGCTTCATTTCGACCGTAACTTTATGCTTTACTCTAGCATAGAGTTACGCTTTAGTTTTACCAGTGCGACCATTCAATTTTCGGTTTGAAGGTTGTGCCGTGGATGTCTCATGCGAGGCGAATGTCTGATGCAGCTCACCATAATCTTCCATCGTTGCCATCCTGGAGCTGCGACCGAAGGTAGTTGCGAGTACTACACAACATGGAATTGGACTACAGGGCTCTGTGGTTTCCTCGCGGCCAAGGGACTTTTGTGGTCGCGTTTCATCGAGAGCGTCCATCCACCATTCATTTGCCCAGTTCGTAAGGTAAGGGACAGTAAGGTAGTGTGCAGATTAAGAAATTCGCTTCAGAGCCGTTTTTCGATCATGACTCAGGTCATGACCTAAGGAAAGGCCTTAAACATCAAATTTATAAAATATGTTCATACACTGAAAATCAAATAGTGATACATCTCACCCTCTGAGGGGTGAGACACAACTGTCTCAACGAAAAAGGGTGATACTAAAATGTATCAACGAAGAAATGGTCGTACACGCATGTATCACCGTAAAAAAGGTCGTACACGAATGTATCACCGAGAAAAGGGTGATACTTCCCCAGTAAAACAAGGGCCAATCTCTCCTTTTCTCATCTTTTTTTCGGTGATACATTTGTGTACGACCTTTTTATCGGTGATACATGCGTGTACGACCATTTTTTTCGGCGATACATTTTAGTATCACCCTTTTGCGGTGATACATTTCGTACCGCCGAAAATTGGTGAGATGTCTCACCCTTCGAATTACAGTGTATCCTCATTGAACTTAGTACGACGTGGAGTCAGTCCAGTATCTATAACCCAGGATCACGCCACGATATAAGGCAACAACGAATAGAGTTGAAGGTAAAGAGAGCGGAATTAATGTTTTGTTTCTTTCAATGTATTCGGTTAAGTGGGGACCCTGGTGAAACTTTCAAGTAGGCTTCAAAATAATCCCAGGAAGTTGAAACTTTGCTTAATTATTAGGTTCATTATGGTGAGTTCCCAAAACAAAATTCAATCCAAAATGTTGAACAGTCTCTGAGAAAAGTGACTTTTTAGTGTTTTTGGAGCGTTGGGGAAAAATCTTCCTGCGTCTTTCATCGGGACGGAAAGTCTTGAAAACTTTTTTGGGTTATCCTAATGATGTATAGAAAAGATTTTAGTGACGGAATTTTCAAATTCAACTTCTGTCCTGAGATATGAGTTTTCAAATTTTAACAATAGAAAAAAAAGTGATTCCCCTCTTTTCAAACTTTTAGGTGTGTTTAAAAAAAAAGTAGGGCTGATATAAAGATTCCGTCACTAAAATTTGTCGACAAGTCATCAATGAATAGAGTCCATGCAAGACGACTCATGTAGGTGTCAACCAGGAACGCAGGAAGTCTTTCTACGACAAATTATTTTGTCGACTGAGCAAAGCTGTGAAGTTGAGCGTAGAAGCCAACGACAACTGATCTGAATGTTATTTCCTTCCAAATGATAAAGAAACTACCCACTTAGCTTAAGGGTGTACAACCTGTTGAATCTGAAACCTTCTATGCACATTTTTATCTATGAACTTTAAAAATACTATTTTTTGGAATTTTGGCGATTTTTTTCACCAGGGTCCCCCCTTAACCTGGAATCAGTCGTACTAAACATGGAATCGTTGGAGGGACGAAACACTAATATTTGACGTCTAGATATACCGAGAGAGCCAGCATAACCTAACCTGGAGGCTACGGACCACCTAAAATTTTCTACATTTCCTCTTTATTCACAATAAGCTGCACAAAATTTTTAGTTTCGAATCGGCATAGCCACCATACGACAAAAACTTATTTGCTCCACTCCAGTAGGCGCAATCTTCAGTTTGCAGAGTAAGTCGTGTCACAATAAACTCTCGTTGCAGGGCTACTACGAAGTTATCAATGGTACCGTCAGCATGCGCGTCCTCGACACCATGACAAAAGGATTGAGCATAGAGAAGTATACCTGGAAGGTCGGAGTCAGAATACACAACGAGCTGCAAGAATTGGTCGTTTGTGGTCTCTTCAAGGCTGAGCTGCGTCGAGTTGTTACGAAAAGAGGGAAAACTTCGTCATGAGGTTATTCGATTCAACTTGAACAGGTTCCGAAACAATAAATTCGGCTGCACCTCATCGCAATTTTAGCTGGCCAATCGATGTTAAGAATCTTGCGTGCCATCTGTCTATTGCCGGCATCAGAACAGCCCTAAATGAATGACAGCCCTCAGCGGGAATGACATCTCATCAGCGCCTCTCCTCTCTCGCTCTGAAAACAGACATAAAAGGGTCATTGTTTACGTTCTCTGCTTTTCTTGCGGTATCCTTGACTATTTAAAGGGCACTGGGGCATGCAAGGATCGGAAGTAAGAAAAGTCTTAATAGACTCACGCTGCAAGAAAAAGTGTGGATAGTACAACAAAAGTAAAACAAAAACTGTACACTTAAAGTACAACAGGGATTGTTGGCTGAGCGATAGCGAAGCCCGTTACTCCAGTGCGGTTGAAAAGTTGTGTCTGTCTGTCTGTGTGTCAGTGTGTGTACACTACTCCTCCTGAACGGCTCGGCCGATCTGGCTGAGACTTTGCAGGCTTATTAGGTATGTTCTTGGCTCGGCACACGCGAAATTTCACTCTCCTAGCTCAACTGGTTCAGTTTTTATAGCCGAAAAACACCTAAAAAACGGCGAAAAATCGAGTTTTCTGCAGGTAGATCACCTCTGTCTTGAAGAAAGGGGGTCTGGGGGGCGGGGCCCCCCAGCCTCAACAAGTTAAAAAGTGACAAGGGTCAAGATCGTGTTATCTGTAGATGAAGCAACTCTATCTAGAATTAAGGGGGGTCCCAGCATGCAACACGTAAGAAGTACCCGACGATGGACAAGCCAATGCCTGCCGAGGGCAGGCTAGCGCCGCAGGCCAAGGTAGGTACGCCAGACGCGGATTGGAGGAACAGGCCGCGAGACATCGCGAAGCCTGTTACGACAAGACGCGGTCTGGCGTAAACCTACCTTGTAGCAAGTACAGCGAGAATTGTACAGACCACAACGAGCCCTGGACTGCACAGCACTCGTCATGCCGGTTCCATTGTACTTCGTACAACAATTGTTGTACTTGAAAAGAACACTAAATTCCTGATTAAAAATTTGCCAGAAATTTGTGCACTTATGTTGTGGTTATACAGTGCATGATACGGTGCTCTTAAGGCATTGAGTTGTCAACACCTCGGGAACCTTGTAGAGTTCCTTAATTACAAGGTAGGTTTACGCCAGACCGCGTCTCGTCGTAACAGGCTTCGCGATGTCTCGCGGCCTGTTCCTCCAATCCGCGCCTGGCGTACCGACCTTGGCCTGCGGCCAGGGCTCTTCAAAAACGCCAATAGGGTCAGGGCGGGGAAGAACTGGACAGGGGAAGAACTGGACACCCCACATTTTACCTCAAATATCGTAGGCACAGGCTTAACAACTTTCACGTAATGTACCGCTGATGCCACGGAACAACTGATAGTTGTTATGACTGTGCATACAGTATTTGAAGTTAAATATGGGGTGTCCAGTTCTTCCCCTGTCCAGTTCTTCCCCGCCCTGACCCTACGCGCCGCTTGGAACTGGCCGCACAGCCGCCTCGGCCACGGACTGCGCTGGCCGACCGAGCCGGCCAAGCGCAGGCCGAGTCGGCCTGCGTCAGGCCGTGGACACTTGAACGGCCTGTGCTTGCCGCCTGCCGCCTGGACGCTCTCCTCAGATCCCCCCTCCACCGGCCAGCACCTGGCCGCTCGGTTAGTGAAGGGCCGGCTACGGCCTCCCTTAGGCCGCGGCCGCGTCAGCCTCCAGGCAGGTGGAGGGTGCCCCCCTCCAACCCCCGGACCATGCATGCGTTCCGTTCTCAGTGGCGGATCCAGGAGAAAAGTATGGGTTTTTGTCTACCTTGAGGAGAAACGCATGACCTTTTGCCTACCTTTCAGGTGGTATCTAAGTCAGGGGTCTCAGACACGCGGCCCGCGGGCCGCTCAGGCGCTTCTCGGGCCGCAGTGCGGCCCGCAGCGGGCCGCAATGGGAAAGATAGGCGAGAGACACAAGTCCAGGCCGGGCCGGCGACGGCGGCTGGCTCGTCTCCCTGCTGTCGAATGTGTCGAGCGGCCGGCAGTGAGGCTGTCTCTCTCGCACTCCCACGGTTATATGGGAGGGACAAGGACAGACAGTGTGCTCGCGCGGCCGACGTGAGCCGAGGCAGCAGAGAGCTGGCTCGTCGCCGCCGGGCCGCCGGTTCGAGCCCGGTGTGTCGCCCGCTGGCATCTATCCTTGTCTTTCCCATAGGAGTCAGTGAGAGCAGGAGAGATGGACGATGTGCTCGCTTCGTTTGGACGAAGGCAAGCAAAGCCAGCGCCGGTCAGCGCCGATTTCACACCTCCCCGGCCTACTCGCCTTATCTCCCATCTCTCTCTTTTCTCCCGGTGCGGCCCGCGGTCTTCCGCCAGTTTGAGACCCCTGATCTAAGTGCCATGGTAGGGGCAAAAGATCTGTGCCCCCCTGGGTCCGCACTTCTCCGTACTACCCCAGTCGATGCCAAATCACGACGCTAGAAGAATTTTCGAGAATTTTGCAATGTATTCTTTATTTCAAGGTAGAAAAGAGGTAAGAATATGGCAAAAAATAATTATTGTCAAATTTAAAAAAAAAAAGCTCTTTTTGACTAGAAAAATAACTGCACCACTTGATGAATGGCGCCACCGGTCACCGGGTCACCGCCACCAATTCACTATTCTTCTCCCTCAAGGGGTTCCGCTTCGTCGCCATCGTCCAAAGAAAGCACCTCCAAGCCGAAGGACTTGATGAAATCATTCAAAAACAGATAATCATCCACTGTGTCAGTGGCGAGGCATGTTCTTGTTGGGCTGATGAGGCGTTCTGCCCGACTAAACACACGCTCCACCGGCGCACTTGCTGCCGGTGTGGCCAGAATTAGTCTTGCGACTCTGCTTAGGGTGGGAAAAACGGCCGCCTGTGGACAACAAAAAATTCTATGTAAGGAATAAGTTAGGAATGGTGTCCTGCAACACTGTGAACCCATACGCTACTCGTCCATACGTGTGATGACTTCTGATAGCACAGGGCACAGGGGGCACTACTCTTCCACCATTGAAGGACCTCACTTGCTTTCACATTGAAATCCTGCAATAGCAGGTACTGCTGCACCTCGTCTTGGACGAGGCGCTGCTCGGCCGTATCCATGTCGATCAGACTGTTATATTCGTCATCGCTATCGACGCGGCGAACCCGGCGCCTTCTTGAGGCCGGCTGCTGCTCTCCCGATGCAGTCTCGCCGACGCCTGCGTCTGCCCGGCCTCGTCGCTCTAGACACATGGCTTGCTCGCCACAAAGGCGCCGAACTTCTGCCAAAACCTAAAAAAGGAAAGAGTGATTATTCATCCGTTTTGCAGCCGTGCACGTTTTGCACTTTGATCAGAGTTGATTTTAATTACTTGCGTCAGCTCTGTTCTCCTCAGACATATTCGGAAGAGATGCGAACTTTGGCCAGAAGAACAGGCCCATTTTGTGACGTAAAGATATATTTGGGGCCACTTTTCAAGTTCCGTCAATAGAGAGGCCCTGAACACAGCAATGTCCTCACTATCCTGCTGGTTGGCTGGAGGATTCTGGCAAACTTTGCCATAGGCCTTAATTTAACACTAGGGGTACGCGCCGTTTTGTTTGGGCGCGTAGTAGGCGAGCGATGCGTCTGTATTCTTGTAGAAGATGGTGAAGAATATGTGCAAAGTAAGGCCAATACAGGGTCAATGTGAAACTCAATTTTAAAAGTTTGGTCACAAATTGGTAAATTTTGGGGAAAGTAAAGGTCTGGGATGAAATTGGAAGTCATTTTCGTGATCAGCACACCAAAAACTGCAGGAAACGAAGTAAAACTCGATGTAAAAATTTTGGTCCGGAATTGGTAAATATTTGGAAAAGTAAAGGTCTGAGATGAAATTGGAGGTCATTTTCGTGATCAGCACACCAAAAACTGCAGGAAACGAAGTAAAACTCGATGTAAAAATTTTGGTCCAAAATTGGTAAATATTTGGAAAAGTAAAGGTCTGGGATTAAATTTTTGTGATTTTTGTCATTTTTGTAATCAGCACACCAAATACTGCAGGAAGCAAGGAAACACCGAGGAAATTTTGGTTCTAAATCATGTGATTCTAGTTGAAAGTATGGGTCTTCAGTTGTTAGGTTTTTTAAGAGCGTTTCCTGTTCATGGTGTCATGCCATGAACCCTGACCCTGTTACTCAGTCGAGAAACAATTAACAGCCAGCATTGAATTGCTTAATACGATTCACAAATACTTCAATTACCATTCGATATCTCCTTGTTACTGAACTTATGAATACGCAATGTTATTAGTAATACCTAAAAAGCCTTCCTCCCTTTTAGTTTAAACTAGTGGATTAAACTATATTGATTTATCTGCATTAATTAAAAAGAGACATATTTACAGGCAGGCTGATTGCAACTACTTTACGGAGAAGACCTTCTGTCAGATCCAATGAATCGTTTCATAGAATCCAATGTCGAGGCCACTTATTGCTAAACGCAAGTTTATTTTATTCATAATGATAGTCATGATGTGTTATTTAATCTTTGAAACAGTTTAGCAAAAGTATTTACCTAACATTCTGAGTAAATTAAAAAAAAAAAGCCAACTCAAACCATGACCAACACAAATTAGCAGTTGTCGCAGACAATGCATGATTAAGTTAAAAGAATTGTCTCATGAAATCATATGACCAAGTCAGTGAATCGTCTCATTGAATCTGATGTCAATGTCAAACCTTGAATGTGCTACACTCACTCATCATATGGTTTTCTTTAGGTTAGTACTATAGTAAACTCACAGCATTGCAATGAAGCCTTTTCCCAGAATCAGTGCCAAGAGTCAGCAAAGACTATTTATTTTGGCAAGATTAGCATCTGGTTTGTACTCATAGAATGTATTAATATATTTTCTAACTGTTATTGAGCAAAGCAAACAACTAAAGAATATAGTGTCTGAGAATATAAATGGAAATACACTCACAAAGGTTAAAAAGACCAAATCATTCTTGCAATTATCAAACACACTCCACTGACTAAAACATTTCCCCTGCAGCGGGGGAGGGGAGGGGGTGGACGGACGGACGAAACGCGTAATAATTGTCACTTTCATTTTCCGTATTTCACTGAGTTGACACTCCGGAGGGGTTTCAATCATTCTAAAATATCAAAAAACTATGACCGTACTCACTTCTAAGCCCTTCTGCTCTTTAGTTCGTTTTATTTGACAATGTTTTGCCAGGTCCCGTATTTAAGAGTCGCGGCCGCAAGTATGAGAAATTGCTACGAGCTGCCAACCACTGCCAACCTAACCACGCTAAGAACCTAATTCAAAAAGATGTTTTGAATATTTCAAACAATAGTTATCGTGAATATAAGATAAACTCCCCCTGGGGGAGATTTAGGAGCCTTCCGGTGCGAAATTTTGAAACTATTTGTGGGGTAGTTGCTGAGAAACGTGAGTGAGTTACAGACAGACAGACGACCAGACACTTTTTGGTACCCCCAAACACGGCATGGGCTCGCTATCGCTCGCCAAAAATCCACTCAATCTTCAAACAAGCTAGGGCCCGCCCTTCCGTCGAACCGAGTTGCCAGCTCCGCTTCGCTGCGCCGGCAACTCGGTTCGACAGGGGGCCGGCCCAGCTTGGCCTGCCGGCGGCCTTTTCTCGGGCCTTCGGCCCGCTCGCATCACACACACCGTGAGCGGGTAAAGCAAAGTTATCGATGTACCATCGTGACTTAGGCCCGCGCTTCTATTCACAATATGCAATAGTCCTTACACTTTTTACTCCAACTGTCCTTAGAATATGCCCATTTCATTTGTCTCTTAGCCCTCATTCCGAAAATACCCATATTTGCCATGCTACTGCAACTCCTTGCAATAGAGGCACAGCAGGAGCACAAAACGAGTCCGTCGCACTTTTTCCCATAACTCATGAAGGCGGGCTCCTGGACCCCCCTTCCGAACCCCCCTTGAAGAGGTCTTGCCAAGACCTATCGAAAACTTAAGTAAAAATTTTCAGTCGGTCGACCCCCTTTTTTGAAGATCCTGATGTGACTAATAGACGAAGTCGGGCTCCTGGACCCCCTTTCCAACCCCTCGTTGAAAAGGTCTTGCTGAGACCAATCGAAATCTGCAATAAATTTTTTTAGTCGGTCGACCCCCTTTTTTGAAGATCCTGATGTGACTAATAGACGAAGTCGGGCTCCTGGACCCCCTTTCTGACCCCTAGTTGAAAAGGTTTTGCTGAGACCAATCGAAATCTGCAATAAATTTTTTTAGTCGGTCGACCCCCTTTTTTGAAGATCCTGATCTGGCCAACATGTAAAAGCGGCCGATGGGGTCGGGACCAGGTCCATTCATCTTGTCTCGTCGCCCCGATTCCAAAAATACCCCTATGTGCCCTGCTAGCACTAATAATGGCGGAAATCCCCCTCCCGGTCATGTAAACCATGATGCACCTGCAGCAGCCCTTGTGCAACCCGGACGGGATTTGCACCACCGGATTATTTGTTTGGACGGTACTCCTGAAGTACCCTCCAAATCTGGTTACTCTAGCTCAACTCCTTCCTTGTACACAGACGCCAACAACAACAACAACAACACACAGACACAAAGGCAAATGCATAGGCCCTCCCCCTATTTTTTGAATAGAAGGGCGGGCCAAAAAGGGAAAATGGGTGAACGTTCAGCTGGATTACGTGATGTTTCTTTGGACACAACACCTAACCTAACCTAACATCTGTTCCTACCTAAGAAAAAAATAAACTTTTTAACAATCGATATGATAATGGCTGTCACATAAGCAGAAAATAGGAAGGTCTTACTGGCACAGTCTGCACAAGAGCACTACATGGAATGGCTTCCAGGATGCCCTTATATGATTTGATGTGACTGAGGTGAGCTGCATTCGGTACAGTGTTCTTATTAATAACCAGATTTAACAAGGTAAGGGAGAGTGGGGTAATTCCGGACGCTTTTTTTCTTTTTTGTCTTTGAGCTTGAATATGCTTCTTGGGTTAAATGTTATGACAGGAGAGTAAAGTATGGACCCTTACCTTCAAAATGGTATACATGAAAGCCAAATCTCAGCAACGGTTAGGGAGATATAGGCGCCTAACAAAAGCCCTGCACGTGTCCGGAATTGCCCCAGCCTGGGGTAATTCCGGACGACCTATGGGGCAATGCCGGACGACCTTAAAATTTGACACTACTCGAGCTTACTTTCGCTTGTTTTGATGTGAGGCGTGCTTTTAGTAGGCGTACAAGGACATTTGCTGCGAACTGAAGTGTTTGATTATTACTCAAAGCATATTATAAGGAATAATTTGTATCAAAACCCCTAAATTGACAACACTGTCTAGAGTAAAGCTCTTAAACATAGCTGCAATGCTATTTTTCGTTCTTTCTTTATCCTTCTTGGGTGGGGATGCATGTCCACAATTTTGAACCCACTACCTTAACATTATGCGGGAAATTGAAGAAAATAACCCTTATTGTCCGGATTTACCCCACAGGTAGTGAAAACCTTTGATGTTCAACTGTAAGAAAACGGCGAGCCATACGAGCACTCCTGAAACGCCAAAGTAAAGTCCAATGACCATATAATATGATAAAATTTTAGTCATGGGACTGAACTTGACGGTAAGGTACGATAAGTACATGGAAATAAGAGGGAAAGATGCAGCTTTTGCCTATTTTTGATGGTACTCAAATTTCGTGAAGCGACCACAGGCAAACGGTTTGACCTCCTACTTCGGCGATTTGGAATTCTCCTTTTAAACTGATTATCTTCCTCTGTTAGGCGGGCTTTTGAGTTATCTTCACTCAAACCCAGTGAAAATCGAAGTGTCCGGAATTACCCCGTGTCCGGAATTACCCCACTCTCCCTTATTGAAAGAAAATCCTAAAAGGATTTGGTCGGCCCACCGTTAGTTTTTTATTTGCACAAGAAAATATGTATCATTTTGGGCGTTTTTCTTGAATTCTCAAACCAACTTTCTCAGTTTGGATCCAAGCTTATGTCCCGCGAGGAAATAAATTTTGTCTTGTCGAGACGATTTCATTGATATATAGAAAAGTCATTTTGGACAAATTTGAAAATTTACCCTAGTTTCTCTCATACACCTGGTAAATGTCACAACACCCGATCTGGTTACTGCAAACTGATTATCTGGTAAGAGTTACTAGGATTCTCGTACGAGTAACTAGTACTCGTTTAACTAGGATTGGTCTGGTACTTTTAACCAGAATTCTTTTTCGGTGTTAGGCAGGACAATTTAGAATCAATTGCAATGTATCTCACAGATACTAATTCAGGTATTGAACTTAACGTTTTCTGTTTCTTCATTTTTAAATAATTTGTTTTGTCACTTAGTCAGAAAGTTAATTATTTATTGATCATTCCAGTCTTGACTTTGCCGCCTCAACGAAATCCAAGAAGACCATTGATCCACTCACAAGAAGTTTTAGCTAAACTCAAAGAGCAGCTGTCAAATTTAGCATGCTGGACAAGAATGGATGGCGAAGTCAGTATAAAAGAAAAACGAAAAATATAACCCAGAAGTTGGTTTTGTCAAATATTTAAAACTTCTTTTTTTTAAAATTTAGGTTGAAATAAGTCGAGGCACAAATGGGTCGAATTTGTGCCTTTTAAAGGACA